TTGATCTGTAAGTTAGTGATTGCCTACTTAGTCAACTAATTTAGTCCACTTTTTTTTTCTTGTGTTTCTTGGCCCTTTCTGTTTGAATAAAAAAAATATACAACTCTGAATGTTAAAAAAACTTCTCACTACCAGTACCGATAATATTAATTTTATTGGCCCAAACAATGGAAATCCATTTGATTAAAATTGTCCATCTCAGCGTTACTACTATAGAGAGTATGTTTGTTTAAACCTTGTAGCTTGTAAAATATTATGTTTTACCATACTATTTTTTAAATTATTTATAGAAACAGGTGGTGTGTGCATAAGCCCCCGGCCTTCTGAAATAGGTGCCGAAATCATTCCAGGTATGCCAATGAGGGCCATGCCAGGAATAAAATTAGGCCTCTATGATTCTGAGGTTAGTAACTGTCCCAACTGTCATTATTTGAAAGGGGCAGAGCAGCATTGCAAAGAAAAATTGGATACTTAACAATGAGAAAAAGAATGTTTATATCATTTAATTAGTTTCTTAGTGTGTCATAAAAATTATGCCTTGTTATATCAAGTTTTATTGGTCTTCTTTTAGAGTTTGACATAGATAGAGTTGGAAATAATGGTGTGTGGTCAGCTTATAACTGATGGGACTAAATTAAACAATTTTGTGCAGATTATGTAACGTTATTTCCATGGTTAAAAGTCTAACAAGGGTATGCTATGGTTTGTCCATTACCTTTATTTTATCCAACTGATGTCAAGTACCTAATAGAAGCTAGTTAAAGTCAGTTCAGAGTCCCTAACCTTAGTGGCAAGCTAGTTTCCCCATTGGACTCACACTTGGAATCTTCACATAGGCAGCCAAGGTACACTTGGAATCTTCACATAGGCAGCCAAGGACTTAACCACTTGACTACCCTGTCTCATGGATCCAAAATTTCAAATTATTGTTTGGTATAGAAATAGATGTATAGGTTGGGCAGAATTTTAAACCAAAAAAAAATAAAAAAATCAAGATTTAGAAAAAAACATGCTAGTTATCTTATCTTATGAATGAAATACAAACGTTACTTCAAAAAAGAAGATGATTACATCCTTCGCATGTTTCTAGGTCAATATTGTCATGCATGCTAATCAATGACTTAAATTCTGCCAAGTCATTGGTTTTCCTGGCTGACTCAGGCAACCCATTCCATGCTCTAATAGCAATAGGAAAGAAGGAGCATTTGTCCTAGCATATGAAACAAGGAATGTGCTTTTATCTTTGTGTTTTTCTGAGATTTTATTAGGTTTTGTTTTTGTATTTGAAGATTATGGTTCAATGTTTTATGTATCATTGCTACTTAACTTTTAAGTCTTCTATTCTGAAGGCTTTCTAAATTTAGTGATTTAGAGTGGTGTTACTCTAATCAAATGTGAATAATCATTTGTTATGAATCTCACTGCTCTATTTTGTGTCTGTTCAAGTTTCTTAATGTTTTCTTGAGTTGAGGTGTCCCAAACAGAGGATGCATATTTTATTATTGGCCTAACCAAGGTTAAATAACATTTATGTTCTTATTTGATTTGTAGAAATTTCTTTTTATAAACCCTAATGCTTTGTTTTATTTTTTTATATTTTTATCAATATAGTTTTTCATTTATTATAACACATAAGTATTTTGCATTTTTAGTCTGTATTACTGGTTTACCATGAATAAGATAAGTGGTATTTATTTTTAGTTTTTCTTTTCTACTCTTAATAACTGACATTTTTTTGGTTGCGATCTTTTTCTAGCATATATACACAATGTACAAATGAATAATGCAGATTATGAAAAGGATGTCTTTAAAAAGATCTGTAATGGCTTTGTCTGTGTTGGACAAAGCAAAATATGTAGGTCACATACTGCACTTTCATTAATCTTCCTATTTGATAACAAACCTTATTAAATCTTTAACCCTTAAAGTGCTGAGCTGTTTTACAATGAGTGCATACAATTAAGAATTACGATTGTCATGAATTGAGGCTAAACTACCACACGCATCTTAAGGCTTAAATATATAAATAGGTTTGATTTGTTGTCTGTTGTGCTTACATCTCTTCAAAATGAGTGTTTGCATTAGGTCTATATTATCTAGCATTAGGTCTAGATTATCTAGCATTGGATCTATATTATCTAGCATTAGATCTAGATTATCTAGCATGCCAAATGAACAGTCTCTATCTGAACTCTCAGTGAACTAACCATCTCTCACCCACCTCTTCCATTCCTGGTAATTTTCATTATTTATTTTTTGTCTGTTAAGATACAATAAACGATCCATTCCATTTGGTTATCTCCCCCCCTTCCAGGGTAAAGAAGTGAAAGGAGAAACTGGAGAGGGTGCTCTGTGCATCTGTCAACCCTGGCCTGGAATGGCAAGAACCATTTATAATGACCATGATAGGTTTCTGAAGACTTACTTAAAACCTGTGCCTGGTAGGTTTGTATCTGTTCACATACTACATTTGAAAGATTGGTTGAAATTATTGAAGGAAGGTTGATAGGCTCATTTCAAGGGAAGGAATTTGGGTTTTTGTGAGGCATTGGGTTGGGTTGAAAAAAAAGTTTCTTTATTGTTAACACCTGTTTTCATCACCTATCAAGTACAGATGGCTGCCTTGTCGTGCGGTTTGCGCGCTGGACTGTCATTCAAATTTATCAATGGTCTCGGGTCAAACCCTGCCCGCTCCCATCCCCCGTCGTCCTGCGAGAGGTTTGGACTAGGAAATAAACTATCTTCAACTCTGAAGGAACATCCGAAACATGTAAAACATTTTACAAACAAACACTATACTTGCTCACATTAGAAAGCTTTAAATTACTTGTATATAGTTAGATATGCTTCTCTAGAAAATCTTTTGTAGAATTAATTTTGTTTTCAAAGAGGATTGTTTATAGTATTATTTTTGATGTACATATGAAATGTAAATTTAATTCAGAGTATCATTTGTTGTCAATTTTAATAACTATTTAAGAAATTAAGACAAATATGTCCAGTTCTCTTAGATGACAGGGATGGCTGCTTGGTCATATGGTTTGTGGTCATGGTGGTTCTTGGTTCAACTGCTTCCATCCCCTGCCTTCTTCTAGAGGTTTGGACTAGGACACAATAATCATCTTTTCTGAAGAAACAAAAAAAAAACAAGCAAGGCTCTACGTTTGAACTCTCATGAAAACATTCTGAGCACATACATCACAGCCAGGTGGTCTTGGAAAAAAAAATTCAGTCAAGCTTTTATTAGATTGGATCCATAGCAGCCATTTTATTGTCTCTATTAAACTCCAATGACTCAGACTCCCACAGATTCTGTTCAAAACTTACTCATATTGCCACTGACAAATATTCTTTATCAATACTCTCTGGCCACTCTGCAGGAGTCTACTATACTGGGGATGGTGCACATCGTCACAAGGGTGGCTACTATCAAATAACTGGACGGATGGATGATGTCTTAAATGTCAGTGGTCACAGACTGGGCACAGCTGAGATTGAAGATGCCATGGTGTGTATTTAATATATATATAATATTTAACTACTGAAAACCTAATTTATCACATTTTATCTCTTTTTAGTGAGAGCGTAGTGTAATATAGTAGCAAATCAAAATTGTGGACAATTGTTTGAAAATGGTGATTTAATGTGTTACAGGATGATCACCCTGATGTGGCTGAGAGTGCTGTGGTTGGGTTCCCACATGACATCAAAGGAGAAGGTTATTCACATTGTGAAACTTTTTATTTTTGTCAAACTACACAGATTTCACAAAGAAAATTCATGTACCTACAATATGTACTTAGTTCTTGGGAATGAATTCCAAAGCTTGTTAATCTCCTTGTCTCTCTCCAATATTTATCCAGCAATCAATATTTTATCAGTGTGGATTCTATTGGTTCTGATTTAATTTCCCTTCTTTGACAGCACAGAGGTACAAGATGTACCAAACCACACTAGATGATTCTTTCTATGTTTTTGTTTTTTTTATAACTTTACACTATAGTTCTCATTAACTTGTATAACTTCCAATATTGTTTTATGTTTCAACTTATACTATGTAGTTGCAATATGTTATTTGTGAACATGTAGAAAATATTCTATTGTAATGAATAATTTTGTAACAAAAAGAATCAAGTTACAGCATTTGGAGGCCTTCAATTCAATGATTAATACTGTATAGTTATATAATAATTATATTTCTTTTTTTTTGGTGTTCAACAGTGGTATATCTTTGTTCTCTAGGAATCTATGCTTATGTGGTGCTCAAGGACGGAAGAACTTTAACAAAGAAAGAATTGGAAAAACAATTAAAAGCACTCATCAAATCAAAGATAGGAGGTCTCGCCTTGCCTGAAATTATATTGGTAAATAAAGGACATTTATTTCAAAATATTGTTATAGTTAGTTTAATTTTGGAAACATTTTGGATGTTACTTCTTACATTTAAGTCCAAAGCTCCTGCAAGGTGGCAGAGGACGGAATCAGGGAGGGTTTGTATTCAGAAACATGGTGTTGACTGTACAAAGCACATATCACACGACCAGTCAGCCATTCCTTAACATGAGAAAACTTTTTTTTTTATTATACAGTTCACTCCTTCCCTCCCAAGAACTCGTTCTGGTAAAATTATGCGAAGAATTCTTCGCAAAGTTGCCTCCAACAAATTTGATGAGCTCGGAGACACAACGACTCTCAGTGAACCAGAGGTGGTGGACTTTATTGTAAAGAAGCACAAAGAGTTAACAGAAGAAAAATAAGCATCCTTAGAATGGGGGATCCTTAAAACCACTTCATACAAGGTGTGGTTTTCTTTGATTGGTTTGTATTGATGTATACCAAATAAATATCCTATCTTTTTAAACATGTTGATTGTGATAGCATCTACCTAGCTTATATATTGACTCACCTAATGTGCAGCTATTTGTTTTTATATAAAATATTTTTTTTAATGCCTATTCTACTGGAGTAGATTTACATCTGTTAACGTGCCTTGTAGTTGGCAAATATTTTTTTTCCCCAATTATTTCAAGAATCATATAGATTCTCTGAATATTTTATGTAAATCTACTTAATGCAATGTATGGCTGAGATCAGTGTGATGCTGTCCTTGTTACATTCCATTCTAATCATTTAAAAAAATTAGCAGCCCGGTGAAAGTTAAAAACTTATTCAGTCACTTCCTCAAGTCTTTTGATAAAATATGTACTGGAATATATAACAAAAAAAACAACAAACCTTTAAAGTTATTTATACAGTTTTTCCGTGTTGTTAAAAAAAAAACAGTAAAGAGTCTCAGTTCATCCTAGTCGAGAACGAAAGCTTATGATTGGACATCCTTCTGTAGATATGACCTGTCTGAAATAATCAACTTTGTGATATGAGCCAGTGCTTTGACTACATGTAGACAGTGTATATAAAGTATTCTTGTGAACACTGTACTCAAATACTTCAGTAAATATGTACATTTTTATGATGTAATAGCACATAACTTTCTATTCTACTGGCCATGTAGCAGACACATTTTTTTATTGTTATAATAGCAGGGGTACTAATTGTATCATTCATCTACATTACTTAATGTACAAGCAGTTTGATTTTTACTATCAAATTTTTTGAGTACATGCAAACATCTTTCAATTGAAAGCAATTTTATTATCAAAAGTAACTTTTGTTTTATGCCTTATAATTATGAATATTATAATTATGAATGTTTTAGGTTATTGAATTTGTATTTATTTATAATGTGCCATAAAAACCATAAGTGCTGTGATTTTATATTGTGCATATTATTCATCATGTTATTCATAATAAGTAATATGATTGTCATTGAAACCTAAATACAAAATAAATTTTAACAAAATTGTTGAAATGTTTTGCATAATCAAGATATTTAAACAGAAAAGTTTAAACATTGTATAATTCCATCTTATGATGTTCCCAGACTAAGACTTCAATAATTATTACTACTATTTGTATTAAAAATGTGTTATCACTATGCACCATGATGATAACAATAATGAATAAATAAACAATGTAATCCTTCTGTTTGTTCAGTTTATTTCTTTATCAGTGCAGTGACATACTTTGATGATGAGCATTGATGACAGATAAAATATAACATGTTATGAGCATTGATGACAGAATAAACTTAACATGTTATGAGCATTGATGACAGAATAAACTTAACATGTTATGAGCATTGATGACAGATTAAACATAACATGTTATGAGCATTGATGACAGAATAAACATAACATGTTATGAGCATTGATGACAGATTAAACATAACATGTTATGAGCATTGATAACAGAATAAACTTAACATGTTATGAGCATTGATGACAGATTAAACTTAATGTGTTACATTAAACAGTGGTAAGAACAATAAGTAAAAACCATTAAATTTTGTCATTCACTTTAATTGCTATACAGAAAGATGAGTCAATTTTTATGATTTACTTTTCTTAAGAGGTGGAGGTTTTCCTTCAACAATTACTTCATCTGTATCATCACTTTCTTCTGAGCTGTCTTCACTTACTCCATCATTGTCTTGAGATTCTTCTGTTCATTAGGAAATACATACATTACACAATTGTCTATCATGTTTATTAAAGTTGTTTATTGATGCTTCAGGCAAAACAAATATTTCAATAATTGTAGTTTTAACCAACATTGATTACTAATTGTACTAAAAGATCGCTGTATCTAGATGCTGCTGTGAAAGTGTTTAAATATTTCCTTATTGAGTGCCTCCATTCATCGTTAATTATGAACTATTATAATATAAATTTAATAAACTATGTGCTAACTGAATTACATTATTTCATAACAATTACAGAAAAAAAAAAGAGCTCTAATTAATGGGAGACAAGGTGAAAAGACAGTTGTTTATGTCCCACAGACTTAATGATAGTGAAAAACATTACAGTAAAAAAAAGTTTTGAATAATGCTTAGCCTTCCTTGCAATGTGAAATAAATATATTTATGATGAGTAAGTAAAAGTAAATAAGTTCCCCTTTCAGACCTTTTTTGGTCTATAGGGCAGATTATGTAAAGGTCATCTGTTTCTGTGGCTCACAGTTAACAAGGGTGTTATGTGGCCTGCACAACGACCAACCGCCTTTACTTTTCCCCAGCTAATGTTAGGTACCCATTAGGGCTGGGGACCCCAGTTCAGAAGCTAAGCGCTTTACTGCTAAGCCACTGCACATCCTATTTATGATGAGGTCATTATATAAAGACTGAATATTGTGTGAAATTCCCTCTTATGATATAAACATGTCTATATTATGAATCTAAACACAGCTACTCAGAACTAGATCTGTTCAAGTAAAATGATTTTCAGTAACTGAATCATAGACTAAAGGAACTTAATACAATTTCTTATCTTTAGATCACTGTATAATTGATGCCATTAGTATATTCAATTACATCTATATTGACTATACCTATAGCATATGTATACAATAATAATAATTTAATTTATAGAGCGCTGTTAACAAACAAATTGTAGGCTCAAGGTGCTGTTATAACATTACAAACATAAACACGAGAGCTAAAATGACAAACTGATCTAAAAAAAAGTTTTAAACAAAGAGGTCTTAATGTTCTTTTTGTAGATCTAATTTACATTCACATTTCATTGTGACATCATCACATGGTAAATGATGTTGTTCTTCAGAATTTCAGTTAGCCAACTTTTTGCTACTTAGCTGTGAGTCCTTTGCAATGTCATTTTTTTTTTAAATTAAATTTTAGATCAAGATTAGATACTACTAGAAAATTAAAATAGTAAGACTACATTTATTCTACTTCTAGTACTACTACAATACTGAATAACCCCATAACTAAGTCTAAATCTAGATCTACTAGATTATTTATTAAACTTATTTATATACTAGTAATTATACTATATTTTAGTTCTATACCCACTCTAGACTGACTAGAATCACTAGATCATTCTAGTAGATATTTATTTATATTGATACACTATAGATTCTAGATGAGGCCAGAACTAGAACAGATCATCATTTTAAATTTAGTTAATTTAGTATTTATATTTTAAAAGTTATAAGATTATACTACTTACTACTTCTACTGCTATTACTATAGCTACAGTAATGAGTACTAGACTAAAGAATAAATGTAGGGTAATCGGTGCTAGACCTAGGCAGCTACTCTCAGCTAGTTTAAGTCTATCTGTATTAAGTTATTAACTCTATAGAGTCTAGAGAATAAGTTCAATAATTTCACACAAAGAATTATTTTAATATTTAGAAAATAGATCTATCATCTAATCTAATACTTCTAATAGTAATACTTATATTATAAGTTATAATATATATAGACTTATAGTTTGAACACTCCATCGAATTCTCCTTTCTGAACGGGTCGCTTTTTTTTGTTTGTAATTCATTTGTTTTTATGTTTGGAGCTAAAAACGACATTTCGGGACTGCGCATGTCCAATTTTAGATAAGTTCCGGTAATTTTGTTCCGTTTTTCCAAAGCAGATGGCAGTTATTTAGATTCTCGGTAACCATGTATGTAAAGCTCTTGTTTTAACCTCCCCCGGCAATTCATACCCATATAAGGGATGAAGGCTATATTATGAGCCTGTTTGATCACAGGCTGATGGGCATATCAAAATAAGCTTCCAAACATCTTTAGAAAGACATTCCAATCACATTTATACCGTTAGCTGTTAAATAAAATTTAAAAAGGGGGTGTCCAAACAAATAATAATGAATTCAGCTCATTCTCCTTTTTGAACACAGCAAAATCGTATTAAGAAATATTATTGGGATTAATAAATCTATGATTTTTTCAATGAATAAGCATGACCTAGATAGAGATATCTAGAATATATAACTTATGAATGAAAGAAAAAGTGTGGGCTGCTAATTGAAGCCAGAGACCATGCTCACTGCATGTGATCACGCAAGATAAGCTGGCGGTGAGGAGAGGTATACACTCAGCGTGTAGTGTCACAAACTATCCAACAGGCAATGGAGGGAAGTGGGAGAGAGTCATGAAAAGAATTATAAGCATCTATGGGAGGGAGGGGATGTTAAGGTTTCACATAACGAACATTCAAATTATGAAAACAAGAAGAGGGTCCTTGGATGGGAGTTAAAAGAAAGACAGAGAGAAAATACAAGTAGCCTAGTAGAAAATATCATGTTTATTAGCTTAAAATAATTAATTTATAGCTCTATAATCTATATTTTATAATAATATAATCACTGCCCGGCTTTTATAATCATATGATGTCTTGTTTACCTGTAAATTTACATTGCGCTTTCTCGTCATTTACAATACTAGTCATAAAATTGTTGCTTTCCTCGTGAACACGTATAATGGAATTTTTCAAACTATTTAAATTCAATCTGCATTGTTCATTATCAACAGGATGGGAAATGTTATGCTTGGAACCATTTCGTAATGTAAATTCAATGTTTACATTCGCCATCGTTGGTTTGGAGCACAGGGGAAGTCACTCAGGCATATAACACAGACCTATATATATATATATATTTGTTATACAGAATCATAAAAATATGTGGCCATGGCTAAACTTTCCAGACGATTTCGTCATCATCATCTGTCCATTGACTCGTTTTAGAGGTGCTGTAACAGTTCGCATAACTAGATTAAATCCCTTCATTTTTTCGGGTCATCAGCTGTTCTTAGAAGAATATCAAGAGAGAGGCAGATCCATTCTTGTACACAGTCCAGCAGTCTAGCCAGCTTTTCTTCGGACAACCCTTTCTTCGTACTCCCTCCACTGTACCTTGGGGAGGATGACTTTAGTCAGTGAGTCATGTCTTATAATATGACCAAACCAGCAGAGCTTTCGTCTCTTTGCAGTATCGAGGATTTCCATATTTTTGCCAGCCAGAGTATTGATTTGTAAAAGTACAAACTCGTTTGTCTTCTTTTCCTGGTATCTAATTCCCAGCATTTTTTTGTAGCATTTACTCTCAAAGGCTTGAATTCTTCCTTCAGCCTCAACGTTCAGTGTCCATCTTTCACAACCATATAGAAGTACAAAGACCACTCTCGAAGAATACAGTTTTAATTTGACTTGGAAGCTGATGTCCCTCTTTAGATTTTCCGCAGTTTGCTCACGGCAACAGATGGCAGGTTTTTATCTCTTTAATTGATCCTCCGTCTTTTGCTGTTTAACCTTAGATATTTAAATGAGTCTACTTTTTGTAATGTTTGTCCATTTAACTGTATGCAACATATCCACAAACCAGTCTTTTGCCTTTTCTGCACTAATTTCCATGCCAACTGCTTTAGCTGCAGCATCCAATTTCGTAGTAAGATGTACCTGGTATGCATTTTCTCCAATGAGGTCTATATCATCTGCAAACCTGAGATTGGAAATTAGCCACCCATTTATGATCCAGCTAGGAGTCCTTCTAGAATCTAGAGTTTCCATCATAATATGCTCCAGAAATAAGTTTAAAAGAGCTGGAGAGAGAATGCATCATTGCCCCACCTTTATAGATGTCCTAAAAGTTGTTTGTTCACAAGTACTGAGCTATTCTGGTAAAGGGTTTTGATAATGTTTATGTCTACGTTGAACTCTCTCATCACATCTTATCAAACAATTCTTAGAAAAATCTTTGGTCAGAACCAGGAGACTACAATTTACCATATTTTAACACATTTATGCAAACGGTTGTAGATTTTTTGTCCAAATTTTTAAAAATATATTTTATTTGTATTGTTAAGTTATGTAAGCTGTTATACTTAGTACTATAATTACAAAAAAAAAAAAAATTATTTTTTTAAAAAGAAAAAATCTATTTAGTATGCATATAAGTCAGACATAATTTAAAACAACAATTAATAAGTAGATTTTCATAATTATTGCGTGAACTGCAATACTACACTACACATAAAACAGTAACCAAAGAAAAAAAAAATTTTTTTTAAGGAAATGTTTTATTCTTGAGGAATAAGAGATTGGCCCTTTACAAAACAATTAAATATTCATTTTAAGACATCAGTTAGGCCAGGTTCACTTGTCCTTTG